GCCCTTCCCTGACTGACTTGACTTTTAGACAGAGCCTGAGCAGTGTCTCTCCTGTTTCTCCTTTAGTTGCCCTGCATCTTGGCTTGTTACATGAGTTGTTTTTCATACCACAGCTCTGTCTTAAAAGTTTCCAAGCAAAACTGTATTCTTTCTCAGAGCGCTTCACTTTCAGGAACTATTTTTCTAATGTGGATTTCATTCAAAAAAGCAAAATGAATCCACAGAACCTCGATGCTCCGATCACTTACTCCTCTATTTTTAAAATGTATTTTCATAGTTTAATAAGGAACACTCAAGACAGAGAACTTCACATATGTAAGCACTAATGCTGCTCAACATTTAATATGCACTCATCTGTCATCCATGACAGTATTCTGGTAAACTGTCTTTAAACATTTTGACTTTTATTTAATTTGTTTCATTTTACTTTTGCGTTTGCACGCACAGTGGCTTTGATGGAGTTCTTATATTATAGACCCCAAGTTGTTTTACTTTTTATCAGACATGTGAATTCTAAACATATGTATCAACCTTTGGCTTTTCTTTTTTTAATCTAGGTAAGTGTGTCTTCAGGCAGAAGGAGAGCTTCATGGGAATGAAATCTAGTTCACCAGAATCCATGCCTTGTGATGTTATGCTTGGCATCGGCACTCTCAGCCTAACCCACAGTCTCAGAAAGCATCCATCATGATTCTTCTCAACCTGTTAGTCTATCCCATGTCATAGCTCATCTATTTTGAATGTCCAATGTTGCATAAGTTAAAAAGAGAGTCTATTTTCCAATAAAGTATGATTGTACCTTGGCCAAATGTCTACCAATGATATACATTTGAGTCTGTTATGGAACATGAATTGATTTCAATCATGATCCCAATAATACAATCTTGGTTGTTGTCACAGAGGTACACAGTGACATAATGTAAATCCTATAACAATAATTATTGTTATTTTCAAAACTATTTCTGCAAACTTTTTTTCTTTGCACTTTGCTGTGGATTTAGATGAGAAATTTAATTGCTTTTTATGTCTCAAACTTATAAATAAAATAAAAATATAAATTAAAATTTATTTATAAATGGCCTGTGTCATAGAATCACTTAAGTTTCTTACAAATAATCATATTTCTGATTAATACAGTCAATTTTGTCTTCTTTGCTATTTGGATACCCTCTCTTGTATTTCTTGCTTTCTTGAATTCTATTGAACCTACACAATATGAAGAAGTTTTTCATTAATATGCAAGGAAAACTGGATGTTTTTCATAATTGATCTTTGCCAGATTGAAGGAGCTCCCTGCTAATTTTAGATTGCTACGTGTTTTTAAATCAGGAACAGATATTTAGTTTTGTTCTTTTCTCACTCCCCATCTTGGAAATAACTATACTTGCATATTGTTAATATAATATATTCCATCATTTCAGTTTCTAATGCTACCTGATTCTTGCATTACTAGAATAAATACCACTCACTTACAAGTGCTATCCATTGTGTATATTAATGGATTCAGTGCACGATGGTTCCTTCAGAGGTAACTATGCTCATAAGGGATGTGGATTTCAGCTCTCTTTGCCTGTCATTTTATTGTCTTTTTTGGATCCTGTGGTAATGCAGGGCTTAGAGAAACATGTGACAGGAGGTTGTGTAGAAGTATCAGTAGTTTGTTCAATACTATTTTCTAGGATTCACCAGTGAAGTCATTTGCCCCTGGAGTGTCCTTGTGAGCATTTGAATTTCAAATCTAGTGTTTCAATAGAATTGAGGACTCGCTATCTATCTTGAAGGAGCTTTGCTCATGTATGGTTCTCAAATATTTGATCATTTTATCTTGCATAAAATGATCTTGTCATGAGTCAGGTCCAGATCTATCAGTCTAATCAAGTGAAATATATTTGCATAAAGTTCTACATACTATTCCTACATCTTCATTTAGTATCTATAAATTCTGTCATGACATCATCACTATTATTCCTAATAGGAATAATTCTAACTCCTCTTCACCTCACTAGAGGGTTATTGATTTAATTTTTCTAAAGGAAAATCTTTCAAATTTTCTGTCTGATTACTTTATTGTTTTCAGATGATTGTTTTCTGTTCTGATTATTATTACTTATATTCCCCTAGTTATTTTAGGATTTAATACATCCAACCCTGGATAAGAAGTGCTATCATTTCAATGAACTAAGAGTCTCCTTGCTCATGAACTGTCTAAAGAGGGCTTAAAAGTGAAAGGTACCAATGAGAGATAGGGGAAACAATGGCTGGATCATTTAAGGAAAGAAGACCTCTCCCTGTCTACTGTCTCATTGTTTGCAGAACTTAGAATTTTCCCAGTGGTCCATTACAATTTCACCCACTAAAATTTGTATTCAAATTCAATTTCCATGGCAGGATATTAAGACACAAGACTGTGTGGGACCAGTCAGAGATTTTCAGTGCTCTGCTCTCAGGAACTGATGCACTGAGCCCAGCATAACCCAGAGGTTAATGACTATTGACAGTGCATCAGGCATCAAAGCAATTTTGCCGGGTCTCTGTTGAGTACTATATTTCATAGCCTGTGCTGCTTTACCCCATGTCAGGGCCCTGTATTCAAGGAGACTGTCTCTAGATGTGGTCCTTCAATAACTGACAGAGGAGTGAGCCCATGGAGTCCTGTTTCTTTCTACCCTACCTGGCTGTGGTGTGGTATCGCTAGCAAAAGAAGAAGGATGAGGCATGGTACCTGGTGTCTCCAAAGCAGGGACCTGTGAGGAGTTCCAACATCAGATATCATTATCCTACAACCATGAATGGAATGTGCAGATCTCTAAATCAGATATTAATAAGTTCAGCAACAAGCAGAGGCTGCTCTCATGTTTCAGAGCAGCCGTCCAGAGAGACGGTCTGCAGTCACGAGTCAGGTCCAGACCTATCAGTATCATCAAGGGAGCCAGAGCAGCAGGCATGAGAGAACAGAACTAAGCCCCTTCCTACATGATGGTCATGAGATCAGGGCTCCCAGGGTCTAAGAAGATGTGGCCCAACGGCATGAGTCAGGGCAGCTCTGTCCGCCTATCTCCTCTCTCATCATGGACGGTCTGCGGGCCTGTTCCATAGCAGCTTCTGTAATCTTGGGATAATTTAGAACCTATCATAGAGATGGGGAAGTAAAGCAGAACTCACTCAGCTAAATGTCTGTTACACAATCCAACAGGGGAAACCCAATAGCCCAATTAAAAAGTAAGTGGGAGCATTTACATGCTCAATTCTCAGGGAAAGACATGCAAAAGTTTGGCAACAGGGGAAATGAGGCCCAGTAGCAACCTCCAGAGACTGAGAGCTCAAAAGCACAGTGTAGCATCCCATGCAACCGGTAGAGTTATTGATTAAAATAGACCATGGAGGAGACTGAAATAGATGGTAAAACTTTAAGTATATAAGAAAACCTTAGCACAGTTTAAGACACAAGGAACTTGCTCAGGTCATGGTCCCTATCCTGTGTGTGCTCTCAGAGGACAAGGTCTTCTTTTCAAGATCTTCTCAAGGCAGGAGGAGTAGGATGCACATACAGCAGCCCAAAGGCCCGGGCCTGGGGAACAGGAGCACTGGGCTCCTAGGAGCTGAGTTCTGAGATCTGTGTGTGTCCTAAGTTTGAAAGCCTGGACTAACCAAAAGTGTGTGCAGATTGTGCTGAGAAAAATTTTGAATTCATTGCCAGGGCTCCTTTGTATGAAAGAGGACCGACTTCCCCAGTGAAGTCAGAACTTCTCATTTTCCTATGGCTTCCTGCATTTAAGAAACCAGGGTCCTAGTTGTTTTGCTCCTAAAGATTTTGTTTATTATTTTGTTTCTGGTAGGGGCTACAGTGAGGTTGAACCCAGGACCCATACATCCTCACCCGCATCCCTCCCATTTCATGAAAATTTTGAGACAAGTTCCCCCCACATTTCCAAGGCTATCCTCCAAGTCATCCTCCTCCTGGGTCAGCCTCCTCCAGTGCTGGGATCCCGAAGCCCTGACCTGGCTCCAGCTCTTCAGATGCCCCTTATCTGCTTTCACTTTCACTTTCATCTTTGAACTCTTCCCTGAGCAAGGTTTGGCTTCCTCTGATTGAATAAGGACATCAGCACCTCCTCTGCCCTGTGGGGATCCCTGAGGCCTAGCTGGACATGCCTCATGACAAGGTGTGGGGACAGGAGCACAGGAGAGCCCAATGGTGCAGCCACAATGCCCACAAGACCTGGACTATAAAAGCCCCTCAGTCTCTGAGAGTCCATCACAGCATCCTGTGGTCCTGAGGCCCACTACATAGGACAACAGCTCAGGTAGGGCAGCAGACCACAGCAAGGCAACTTCTGGTGTGTCTGGCAAGGGGGAACAGGCCATATTCTAATCCTGGGGATGGAACTGGGCCCAGAAAGACCAAGGCACAGCCAGGTGGTGTCTGCAGTGCAGCTCTGATGCTGAGGAGTGCAGGTGGCCTGGCCCTGCGGGGCTGTCCTGGCCACTGCCCTCTGTGCTGTCTTCCCTAAAGCAGTCCACCTGGTTCCTCCTGGTTCTGGTCAAATCCCAGTCTCTGTCCACCCCCAGTGCCCCACCTATCCTGTATTTCCTGATCCCAACACCCAGCAGACAAAGCCTGCTTTCCCCTGTGCTTTCATCCATTGTGGGATAGGGTCGCTGTCTCCACCGCCTGCAGGCTTGACCCTAGTCCCTGAGAGAGGGTGCACTGCAGCAGTGAGGGCAGCTTTGCAGTGAAAGAGGGAGGGAGGCTGCCTGGCCTCCCTGAGATGTGGGGTGAGGAGCAGCCCACCAGGGCCAGAGTGCAGGGGCCTCAGGGTGGACAGATGGTCCACAGGACAGGCAGAGGGGACAGAGGAGTAGAGAGGGGCAGAGGCCAGCACTGAAAGAGTGTCTCTGCGGTCTTACAATGAAAACCAAAAGCACAGTTTCAGCTCTTTCCACTGATAGTGGACACTTGGGTGAGTTGCCTGACAGGGACTTTTCTTCTTTATCTCTAGACTGCATCATGAACACGCTGTCGGAAGCCAATGGTGCCTTTGCCATCTGCCTTTTAAAGCTTCTGGGTCAGGATGACTCAGCACACAATGTCTTCTTCTCTCCCGTGAGCATCTCCTCAGCCTTGGGTATGGTCCTCCTGGGGGCCAAGGGCAGTACGGCAACCCAGATGGCTCAGGTACACTTTCCTATCCCTGTATCCTTCCAGTACATGAGGGTTTGTGCTTTGAGGTTATTCTGAAGAGACAGGGGATCTTCCCCAGACAATAACTGGCAATTTTGCTGGCACTTTGTGTAAGAAATGAGCTGGGGCTGGGCTGGCATATGGTGGGGGATTGCTCAGGTTTGATCCCAGTACCACAGGGGTAAAGAGAAGAAAAAGATTCTGAAATTTCTTGACACAAAAGTCTCAGATCTGTCTTCCTTTGCAGCACAGGATTTTACAGGCATAATTACTCATTGCTGCCTTGCTACTGCTGAGGAGACAAACAGAATGGCTCAGGCCCTCCCAGAGAGGAGGCGGAGAACCCTGTAGAACCCAGGAGGATCCACAGTGCACTGTGGGTTACATCTGGCCTCATCTGAGAGGTCCCAGGCCCAGCCACTGTCCCCAGGAGATCTCAGCGTGGGCAGGAGACTCAGTCAGTGCCATTGGTTCCCCTGTACATAGCTCTGCTCAGGGCCTCCTAAGCTGGGTCACTTGGGTCTCAGTTTGACCAGCAATGCCCAGAGAACCCTTCATTAATGCCAGCTCTTCTATTTTTTTCTTCTTCAGTGTCCGAGGCTCTGAGGTAAACGTCCAGGGGGAAGCGCCTTTTGGTGCTTCTTATGCAACCGTAGACTCTGCTCTCCCTAAAGAACCCTTTAAGGAACCCGGGGAGTCAAGGACTCACTGCTGAAGTAAACTACAAAGGCCTCCTTGGAAGTCATGGTGCCTGACTAGCATCTGAGCACACAAGAGGCTGAGGTACCAGGATCGCCATGAGACTGAGTCCAGTCTGGCCTACATAGTTAGATCCTGGCTCAAAAACATGGAAATAAAAGTTTCTTACAAAGGATAATTTTATGGAGTACTTGTGAAAAAGGGTTGGGTTTTTTTTTTGGGGGGGTAGACTCTTTGTGAGACCAGAGAACAGCACTGACAATAGGCATTGGCTTCCCCCACAGGCACTGGCATTAGACACTGAGGAGGACATTCACAGTGGCTTCCAGTTGCTGCTCGCCCAAGTGCACAGGCCTGGCGCTCTGTATTCCCTCAGCACAGCCAATAGGCTCTTTGGAGAAGAAAGCTGCCAGTTCCTCTCGGTGAGTTGGGTCTCCAGAACCAGGAAAGAGTGTGGGGCAGGACTTCAGAGAACCTGAGGAACTGACGGGCAACCATGTTTGGCTACTGACACTGCTCTCTAAGAATGCCCCCATGGATTCCACATGTGACAATCTATGCGGTTCTTTCATTACTGCCTAGGTGGTTCTGACTCGCATTTCCCTACTTAGAACCTGCTGGACTCAGGGTGACATCTTCTAAGACACACATATACCTCTTGAAGCTTTCAAACAACCATGCTGTGCTTGCTTAGAATATCTGACGTGTGCGCCTAGGCAGCACATATACTCAGAATGCCTGGCATCTTGCTGACCTTTCCTGCAGCTCCGTGGCCTCACCCAAAGTGTCTCTGCCCACAGCCATTTCAGCAGTCCTGTCTGAAGTCCTACCAAGCCGAGCTGGAGCAGCTGCCCTTTGCCAAAGCTCCAGAGAGCTCCAGGAGGCACATCAATGCCTGGGTGTCCACCAAGACCCAAGGTCAGCACTGGGGGTTCTCTCTGCTCCTCCCCGTCCTCATCACCTTCTCCCTATGTGGGCCAGGCCCTCCCTCATTTCCAGGCCAGAAAGTGATGTGTCCCACCTGTGGGCTCTAACAGCAGTGATGGCAGGAGGGGTGAACCACTCACACGCCTGAGCCCCACGCGGAGCACTGCTATCTCTGCCAACATCCGAGACCCTAGCGAATGGTGCACAGTTTTCCCTTTAAAAGTCTGCAATTATTTTCCCAATTTCTTCTGAAATCTTTAACACTTTTAGCCTCCTGAGACAGCAATTCACAAAGATGCATTTACTTCATGACTAGTAGTCCTCACTATCCAGGGGCAGAGGAGGTAACCCAGGGGGCACACCTTCTCTTACCCAGGGGTGCTTGGTGCTCTGTCTGGAGGACGCAGCAGCAGTCCCTCTTCCACCTCCTCCCTTCCTGCCCCTGTGCTGCTGCCCCTTACCCTGAGCCCTCTCTGCCTAATATTAGCTCTGGGTGTGCTTGGGAAGCCATAGCCCACACTCCCCATGTAACCACTGAGGGGACTGCAATTCCCACCCAGTGCATCTCTGGTTTGCTGCTTTTGTGCCTCCAACTTGTCCTAGTCTATAACCTGCTTTCTTGAGTGACTCAGAAACCTTAAGCCACCTTCACTTCAGGGATGTTCCCCACATGTCTATGTGCATGAACAACACTCCTAGGAAATGTTTGTGATCATTAATTCATAACAATCCTAACTCAGCTAGACCGAAAACATCATGTCAAAACCTTCCTGATGCTGTCCTATAGTTTGCTCATCATGGTGTTTATAAGCAGTCACTGAAGGCGGTCTCTGCTTCCCCTAACAGACAAAATTAAAGAGTTGTTGGCCAAGAATGCAACTGATGGAGTGTGTAGGCTGGTTCTCACTAGTGCTGTCTACTTCAAAGGAAGGTGGGAAGAACAGTTTGAGAAGTCAAGCACAAGTGAAATTCCTTTCAAAATAAACCAGGTAGGGGGACGCTTTACAGAAAATCTTTTGATAAAGTAATGGAAGAAAGATATTTGATGCAATGTATTTTGAATTATATTTTTAAACTCAAGAAAACAGCATCATGGAAGTAAGGAACATTTCCTGTTTATAATTGTTTGCATGAATGGTGTTCTTCCAGTTTGATAATTTCTCCTGCATGTATTTGCTTAAACCTCAGTCTGGAAGCCGAAGATTTTTCTGTAAGTTGAGGTTAGCTTGGTTGAAACAATGAGTGATGTGTTGTGATACTGTGCTGTATGCATGGGGCACCAGGCAGGGTCAAGAAAATGTGAGAACAGAGATCCCTCAGCAAGTCACTCTTAAATGCTTTAATAGTTGATGAGCTCAGCATCACAGATAGCTCCTCATGCCAGAGAAGCACACTGCTGGCCACGGCATTGGTGCTCAGAGTGGACTGAGAAGAGGCCCCAGGTCGGGAGGGGAGCTGGAGTTCTTGCCAGGGTGGTTTTGGTTGAGAGAATGTGGGGATGTCATGAGACACATTTGAATTGTTTTTTGTTACCTTAAAAATTATTGGGGCTGGGGAGATGGCTCAGCAGAATAAGCACTTCCCTGGCAAGTGCAAGGGCCTGAGTTCAATCCCCAGTTCCACAAAAAAAAAATTATTAAAATTCAGTATTTCCTAATGTTTCATATTAGAACCAAGTAGAAAAGACTAAGATATTGATGTTTTTAACTTTAATTAAAGCAGAGATAATGTAATTTTCAGGGTGATATAATCTCTTTAGTAACAGAAAACCAATTACAAAGAAAATATTTAGGATGTCTACATATGTTCATCTATACCCTATTTTAAAATAAGATGCCCTTTGTGTCACGATTCATTTGTTTTTCCTCAACAGTCCTTCAGTCTCCTCAGAGCCAAGCAGTAGCACAGGGAGCACTCAGAGCTTCCCGCTGGGCAGTGCTGGCAGCTCCCCAGGCTCCTCCTGCCTCTGGCCACTCCGTGGCTTGTCATGCCTGTGGGAAGCGCTGGCTGAGGTTTCCCCGGGAGGGGTCACCTAGAGTGCAAATGCCCCTCCATCCTGGGTGCTGGAGCACTCAGGGAGCTCCTTTGGGCAGATTTCCTGCTCCCTGGAGAATCCCTGTGACATGCGTGCCCCTCTGCTCACCCTTCAGAAGGAGCAGAGGCCAGTGCAGATGATGTTCCAGGAAGCCACGTTTCCTTGGGCTCACGTGAGTGAGGAGGGGGTCCAGGTCCTGGAGCTGCCCTACCAGGGCCGGGAGCTGAGCACGGTCGTGGTGCTCCCAGATGAGGGTGTGGACCTGAGCACGGTGAGTCAGGGGGCTGGGGTGTGCTTTCTATCTTGCTTGGAGCATCTGGTGACATCCCGTGTCCTTTCCCACCAGAACCACATTGACAAGTACTCTTGCCCATAGCTGTCCCTCTGTCCCCTTCCTGTCCTAGGCCACTCTTTTCCTAAATCCACTATGAGCCCCTCCTTGTCATGCCCAGCAAGGAGTTCCCCTGGGATAAGCCACTAACTGGGGTGCTAGACTCAGCATCCATAATGAACTGGAGGGACAGAGTTGAACAGAGAGAAGCTACATTTATTAGAAGGAAAGAGCATAAGCTAGAAAGGTACTCCAGACCTGTAAGGGGTCCTGAGAAGATTAATGCCTATGAACCTTTATCTCTGCCTGCTTTGTGATATTTTGGGGACTCACATCCCTTTGAAACTTGTCACAGTTTGATTGGCTCCCAGGACTTCTGAAGATTAAATGAAACACCACGGCCTCCACAGGCATTCATTTTAGTTACCTTGGTCTGAATGCACTGTGTTGATTTGTACTTCCAGAGACCTATACCAGATAGACCAGGTGGTTGGTTGGGGAGGCTTTCTAGAGGGTTAGCTTGGAGTTCATACGTGATGGTGTATCTGGTCTAGTAACAGAGACTGTGAAGTGAGGAAAACACCTGGGAAAGTGCTTAGCTGCGGAACACACTGCGCACTGAGCCGGAGCTGTACCTACAGTGGGTGCCCACGCCGTCCTGTGCACTGGTGTTGGGCTGGGAGGGCACTGTCCTAACTTGAGTGCCTGTTGTGGCTCTGTGCCCTGCCCCTCTGCTTTACCTCTGATACAAGGCCCAGTGCCATTTGGGCTTTCTCTGTTTTTATTGTCTTGTTTTTCTTTTTTTCTCATTCCTTGTAATTTTTTGAAAGGGACCTCCTCTATGGAGCTTTAACAGTTTATTCTCAGGACTAGCTAGGGAGTCTAATGAGGCTACCAGAATATTCTTTCTCTGCTGACAGACATGTTTCTGTACAGCCTCAACCCCTGCCCTGGTGGCTCATGGCATCAGCCCTTTTGTACTTTGCTCAACATTAATGGGCTTTCTGCTCCAAAACGAAGCCTCCTTCAGAAATGAAACATCTCACCAAGATACCCACAGAGTGCAACCATCTTGGGAACTGGTTTGCAGTGGTCACAAGAGTGTGGAGCCTCATCATCTACCTCAGCAAGCTGCAGCAAGGGTGGTATGGCAGAGGCTGGGTGCAGAACAAACTGAGACCTCCAAGCTTCCAGGCAGCTGCAGGGACAGTGTGTGACACTGGGCACCTCCTCTGCCTTCCAGAGGAGGCTGGAAGGGACTGTGGTGGCTGGGTGCTGTGGTCTAAATGGTAAAGTGGAATCCTGGTCTTTCAGGTGGAAAAAGCCCTCACTTTTGAGAAATTCCAAACCTGGACCAGTCCAGAGCATATGATGAGAATCGAAGTCCAAGTTTACTTTCCTAGATTTAAACTGCAAGAGGAGTACAACATGGTCTCTGTGCTGCGGGCTCTGGGTGTGGTGGATGCCTTTGTTCAGGGCAAAGCAGACCTGTCTGGGATGTCAGCTGACAGTGACCTGTGTCTGTCCAAGTTTGTGCACAAAAGCGTAGTGGAGGTCAATAAAGAAGGCACTGAGGCTGCAGCAGCATCAGCTTGTGATGTTACACTCAAGTGTTCCATGAGTGGGCCAGAGTTCTGCGCTGACCGCCCCTTCCTGTTCTTCATCAGGCACAACAGGACCAGCAGCCTGCTGTTCTGCGGCAGGTTCTCCTCTCCATGAGGGACGCATGCCCTGTGTATGCAAGCATTTCCATCTCTGTTCCCAAACCTTGTAAAAACTTTACCAAGTTAGCTCAATAGAAAAGGCCAAGGCAGGGTGAGTGCAGGCTGGTACACACCTGCTCCCCCTGGCTGCATAGGCACATAATGGATGGGCTCTGCTTTCCCCCACTGTGTACTCTTATTCCAGCTGACCAAGATCTCTGGTCAGAGCTCCATAATGAACACAGGTGCAGAAGAGGTCCCTGAGTGGAGCCTGCACAGGTGTCCCTGAAGGTTGCAAACATCTGCCTAACTCTTGTGTAACCTCCTTAGCATGGTAATAGCATGCATCCCACCTCCTCCAGGCCTGTCTGTCACATACTTGCCTAAACCTGACCTTCTAAGGGGTAAGCTTTGGCCCTAGACCTTCTAGTTCCCGTGGAGTTTTCCTGGAACTTTAAAGAAGTGTACATTTTAATTTTATTTTTATTTAACATTTACTGCTCAGCTGGTCTGTGCAGAGTGTTTCATTAGACCCAGGGACAGAGTCAGTTTTCTTCAGCAGCTGCTGTTTATCACATATGTCCAACTCATAGCTTTTGTGGCAACCAGGTGGCCCTATTTAATGCTTCAGTCTTACACAGATGACTATTATGGACTACTGGACTCTTTTAGAATATTTTGCTGAGTTAGCACACCTATAATATTCAAATAATGGAACTAAACAAAAAAGGGGATACAGGTGAATGTGCATTTTGTATCTGTGTATTCAAAATGGTTAGGTTAGATATATAGTTACATTCTCTTAATGAATAGAGGGATTTGTTCTAATGGTTTTTGTAAATAGGATATTATGTCGGCATCTTGTACAGCAATTAACCACTAGGAAGAATGTATGCAATGTGTTAATTATTGAAACTGTCCTACCAATTTGGTTTGAAACTGTCTCATCACTATTTGGTTATCAATAAAATTATGGGAAAAAATTTGATTTCTCCATCTGCAACTCTATCTTTTAAAATCCATTTCCATTCAGCACTTTAAATTCATTTCAGATGTCATCTTCTTCAAGAAAATTTATTTCTTCACCACATAATATGTACCCTTGAGCTCAAGTGGCTGTGTCTGTGGTAGCTCCTTAATTTACTATCCCTCTGTCCTCTTAGGTAGCAGCCCCTAGACCTTGAGGTCCAGACATCAGGATTCCGTCTCCCCTGCCTGTGTGTCTCTTACACACTAATAATGAGCTCCTGATCACACACAAAAGCTCTGTTTTCATTGCTCAGATATCACCAAATAAATTGTGCTCTTCTAGTATTTCAGCCTTTATGACACATGACAAAGTTACCAATATTAAGCAGTGCGTTCAGGCTACTGGGGAATCAGCACCTTCATGAAGTTCCAAGAAGTTTTCGCTTCCCCAAAAAGAACCTGATCCCCCCCAGCAGTAGGTCCACGTGCTTTCCCACACCCCTGAACATCACCATTGGGTTTTCTCTCTGCATTTATCTCCTCTGAACTTTTGAAATAAATATGACCTTTGGTGTCTGCTTCTTTTGTTTAGCGTAGTGTTTTCTCAATACATTCATCGCTGTACCATGTACCCTTTCCCTATTTCCTCTATGGTGGTGTCGTATTCCATTGCACAGGCATACCATATCTACTTACTCAAGTATCCGTCTGACTTTTCACTCATTCACTTATATGCAAATATGGGTGCTGTTTATCTGCATAGACATGAATGTTCATCTGCATGGACTTATTCCCCTTTCTTTTACATGTGTATTCCACTATAAAGGAACAAAATTACTGGGTCATACAGTGCCTATCATTAATCCCGTGAGGAAATGCCAAACTCTTACACAGTGTCTGAACCAAGTAACATTCACACCAGGAAAGTGTGAGAGGCCAGCTCACCCCATCTTGACAGTGTGGACTGAAGAAGAAAAAGAAATGTGCGGGAAGCAGAAATGAGCTTCAAGCTGAGTGGGTCAATGGATTTGGAGCATGATGCAGGCTTGGAGGTGGCAAGAGGGCGGGCACACATGGTAGAGTGCAGGAGTAAGGGGACTGCAAGGCATGGAAGCATTCTAAAGAATAAAGGAATCTGAGGACACAGACCTCCAGACAGTATGAAAGAAATCAATCTGATTGCTCTATAAAGCACCCTGCTTTGGATATTTTGTTGTCTCACCAGGAAGCCCTAGAACAAATAATTCATCAAAACTTAGACTCGTGGCCTTTTACCTCGGATTTCCCGGTTGTTCACCTGGAGCTCTAGCTTCAACATGGAGGGAACCATGTCACATCACCGACTCTGCATTCTAAAGCCACCCACTGCACAGTCATCCTCACAGATTACCGGTGAGGTTAAATCTGAAGACAGATAATCTCTGGGGAGTCTTCAAGCCAGTCAGCAGAGTGTCTTTTCCACTGTCACCCTATAATTAAATGCACACAGTACTTCTTCTTGCTGCATATATTTAAACATTATCAGTCATTCAGTTCCTGCAGAAGTATCAATCTTCTATTTCTTCCTTAGTTGATTCCTACCATAATTCTCTACATCCTAAAAGAGAGCTGTTGTTCTGCTCACATGCATGTGTTGGGATTGCCTCCATCTTTCTCCCCTTTACCAAGTGTCCACACTACTTGCCGGGTCAAAGCCTGCATGATCCTCAAAATCTCACTCGGCTCACCCAGCTTGAAGCTCATTATTGCATGCACTTTTCCCACAAGCAGCTCCAAACTCCCCTGGAGAGGGGGACCTTGTGATGTCCTGGCTGCATCTTCTTCCCTTTAGAGCCCCAGGAAGCTCTGTTCAGCCCTCCCTGCACATGCACCATGCACCAGGCTCCCCAGCAGCTCTTTCAGACTTCAGCTCAGGCAATTCTTCTTTTTGGAAGCTCTCCTGAACCAATAGATATAGTGTATGGTACTTTTCATTAAAAAACCGTCCAATTCCTGAACAGTCTGGACCTCAAAGTCCATGAAGTCAGAATATTTTCTGGCATCAGCCTTACCATTGATCCCAGACAGGTCTGTTCTGTGGGCAACTATTGCTGGAAATCACTGCTTTCACTTGTTCATCTCAACCATATGTGTTGGCTATATTTTCTCATTGCTGAGTCTCAATGTCTGATACCCAGAATGAACAGAGGAATGGTTTATTTAGCTCAGCTTTTGTCGAGACTTCTTTCCATACTGAGATGGCTCCAAGGCAGAGTCACACATGGCACAGGGAAGCTGTTGGTGGCAGCAGAAAAATCAAAAGCAACTGTAGCAAAAGGGAGAAGCAGCAAGGCACATGCCTCTTTCCTTCCTTTATAGTGTATGCAGACCACCCTCCCCAGGTGGTGTTAGAATTCAAGCCCGTAATTGTAGCATCGGCCCATGGATTAATCACAAAATCTACAAGCCTGCCCCATGACAGCATAAGGTTGTCAGTGCACATCCAAACACAACCATAGCATCTCCCCAACCCAAAAAAGACTGGCATACATTGCTTCATATAAAAGCCATTTGTGACCATCTTTAAGAGTTGTCACTGTCTGAAGTGCTTCAGTACTTCTGAGAGGTCCGTGTTCTATTTCTCCTTCAAGATATAAGGTAAACACTTAGCTGTGAGCCCCTGTATGAAGGGAAAGTTACACGTTCCTACCATTTAATGCACAAGATAAACACTACCATTACAAAAATATAAACAAGAGGATGCAAAGCATTGGGTTCAAAGCAAGTCCAAAATGCAACAGGGATGCCATTAAGTCCTGCACGTCCACATTGAAGTCTGTGGCAAATTGTGAGATCTGTGGAGTTCTACCTCTGTCACTTCTGGGTTTGCAGCTCCCATGGCTTTTTACTTGGTAGCACTTGGTTCCCTCCTTGAAGCTATTCTAAAGCAATACACATATTTACATTTTAAAATAATGTTTGGGTATTATACTGTACTTTTTCTTTTATACTCACAGCTTTATATACTGGACACAATCCCTGGTCTATCAGACCTTTTGAAATATGCGTGGAAGCTTTTCTAAGCTCAGAATTTTTGTCTGTTTTATTACCTTGAACTAGCGCCACGTGGATGGTGCCAAGGTATCTGCCAAGCTCAACAGTACCCAGGTCCTTCACTCCACTCCCCCCACTGGGCAGACATCACCCGGCTGCATCACAGAACACTCTGCACCTGATTTTGAAGAACAAGTTTTCTCTGTCACCTCCATTTTGCCTATTCCATCTTACGTGTAAGATGTTTGATATTCAGACAGACAGTGAGGTTAAGCTCAATTGTCTATGTTATAGGGTAATAAAATCATTAAGCTGCACTTCTGGAGGGTTAACAACTTAAGTTGCAGACCAAAAATTTGAGAAAAAGAATAGCCACAAGGAGAGCCAACATTTTGGCCCCAGCTACTCAAGCTCAGTGAGGACTCAGGACATAAGAGAACCTGGACTGTAACATCCTGTAACTCAGGGATGTCTCAAATTTTCTGATCAAGGAGATTATGGGGCAACAAAGGAAAGTGATTGACAATGTATAATGTGCCTAAGGAGAGTCACCTAAAGAGAAAACATTTTCTCAGGCTTTCACAGAGAGCAAATTGGTCAAGCAATGGCTGTGACTCATCCACATGGCTGACACTGACCAAGGATCTACAAACTGCTGTACAGGGTTTCAGGCTAAATCCTGAAGGGATTTGACTGATCTTGTCAGATACAAAAATTACATTTCTTGTTGTATAGGTCTTGCTTTATCTTGGTCTTAACCATCCAGCAAAAAAAGTATAAAAACAAGGTATAAAAGTAAAGCTGTATTAAAAAAAAAAGTAAAGCCGTATTAATATGCTGAGCTGTAAAAGTCTCAAGTCAACAATTTCTGACATTGCCAGTTATACGGATAACCCACTACAATTATGGACTACTGGACTATTTTGGATTATTTTTCTGAATTCACATTTTAAGTCATCCTGTTGTCATTTGTAACATGATGTTGACTGAAAGACCCCAATAATAGCCATGTCACCACTTCAACATTTGACTATATTCAAATTACTTTTGCC